AGAAGGAATTTCTGTAAAGAACAAATTCAGGTTTTCTTACTCCCAATAAATATAAGAGAAAGAAATTTCTGTAAATAAGAAATTCACAATTTCTTATTCTACTTAAATAAATAAAGAAGGAGGAAATTTCTGTAAACAATAAATTCAGGTTTTATTACTCCTAATAAAAAAGGAAGAAAAAATGTCTATAAATAAAAATTTGGGGTTTTTTTACTCCACATAAAGAAGGAAAAAGTTTCTGCAAACAAAAATTCAGCTTTTCTTACTCCGCTTAAATTAAGAGGAAGAAATTCAGTAAACAATAAGAGGAAGAAATTTCTGTAAACAAAAAATTCAGGTTTTTTTACTCCAAATAAATTAAAAAAAAAGGAATTTCTACAAAGAACAAATTCAGGATTTCTTACTCCACATAAAGGAAAAATAAATTCTTATAAAGAACAAATTCAGATTTTCTTCCTCCACATAAAAAAGGAGGAAAAAATTCTATAAATACCCAATTTGGGCTTTCTTATTCTACATAAATAAAGAAAGAAAAAGTTTCTGTAAACAACAAATTCAGGTTTTCTTACTTCACAAATCTGCAGAACAAAGAAGTTTCTGTACACAAATCTGGGTGTGACACACTGCTGAAAAAACCTGATTTAATATTATTTCTGTATTAATGTCTCCTTTTCCTGATGGGTTTGGGACTAGGGAGGAAGGGGAGGAAAAAGTTGGGAAGGAAAAAAAAGGAAGAAAAAAAGGAAGAAAAAAAAGGAAGAAAAAAAGGAAGAAAAAAGGAAAAAAGGAAGAAAAAAAAGGAAGAAAAAAAGGAAGAAAAAAGGGGGAAAAAGGAAGGAAAAAAGGAAGAAAAAAAGGAAGAAAAAAGGAAGAAAAAAGGAAGGAAAAAAGGAAGAAAAAAGGAAGAAAAAAAGGGAAAAAAAGGAAGGAAAAAAGGAAGAAAAAAAGGGAGAAAAAAGGAAAAAAGGAAGAAAAAAAAGGAAGAAAAAAAGAAGAAAGAAAAAAGGAAGAAAAAAAGGATAAAAAAAGGAAGAAAAAAACGAAGAAAAAAAGAAGGAAGAAAAAAGGAAGAAAAAAGGAAGGAAAAAAAGGAAGGAAAAAAAGGAAGGAAAAAAAGGAAGGAAAAAAAGGAAGGAAAAAAAGGAAGAAAAAAGAAAGAAAAAAGGAAGAAAAAAGGGAGAAAAAAGGGAGAAAAAAAAGGAAGGAAAAAAAGGAAGGAAAAAAAGGAAGAAAAAAAGGAGAAAAAAAGGAAGAAAAAAAAGGAAGAAAAAAGGGAGGAAAAAAAGGAAGAAAAAAGAAAAAAAAAGGAAGAAAAAAAGAAGAAAAAAGGAAAAAAAGGAAGAAAAAAAAGGAAGAAAAAAAGGAAGAAAAAAGGAAGAAAAAAGGAAGAAAAAAAGGGAAAAAAAGGAAGGAAAAAAGGAAGAAAAAAAGGGAGAAAAAAGGAAAAAAGGAAGAAAAAAAAGGAAGAAAAAAAGAAGAAAGAAAAAAGGAAGAAAAAAAGGATAAAAAAAGGAAGAAAAAAACGAAGAAAAAAAGAAGGAAGAAAAAAGGAAGAAAAAAGGAAGGAAAAAAAGGAAGGAAAAAAAGGAAGGAAAAAAAGGAAGGAAAAAAAGGAAGGAAAAAAAGGAAGGAAAAAAAGGAAGGAAAAAAAGGAAGGAAAAAAAGGAAGGAAAAAAAGGAAGGAAAAAAAGGAAGGAAAAAAAGGAAGGAAAAAAAGGAAGGGAAAAAAAGGAAGAAAAAAGGAAGAAAAAAGGAAGGAAAAAAAGGAAGAAAAAAAGGAGAAAAAAAGGAAGAAAAAAAAGGAAGAAAAAAGGGAGGAAAAAAAGGAAGAAAAAAGAAAAAAAAAGGAAGAAAAAAAGAAGAAAAAAGGAAAAAAAGGAAGGAAAAAAAGGAAGAAAAAAAGGAAGAAAAAAGGAAGAAAAAAGGAAGAAAAAAGGGAAAAAAAGGAAGGAAAAAAGGGGGGGAAAAGGAAGGAAAAAAGGAAGAAAAAAAGGAAAAGGAAAAAGGAAGAAAAAAAAAGGAAGGAAAAAAGGCAATGCAAGTTTATGGGAGTTTTTCAGAAAATGCCACCCACTCCAGGCTCAGCCCAGAAGTGACCGATTTTGGCTGATTTATGAGCAGAAAATGGCGTGAAGATGGTGTGAAGATGGTGTGAGGATGGTGTGAGGATGGCTGAGGATGCTGTGAAGACGCTGTGAAGACGCTGTGAAGATGCTGTGAGGATGCTGTGAGGATGCTGTGAGGATGCTGTGAAGGTGGTGTGAGGATGCTGTGAAGGTGGTGTGAGGATGCTGTGAGGATGGTGTGAGGATGGTGTGAGGATGGTGTGAGGATGCTGTGAGGATGCTGTGAGGATGCTGTGAGGATGCTGTGAGGATGCTGTGAGGATGCTGTGAGGATGCTGTGAAGACGCTGTGAGGACGCTGTTAAGACGCTGTGAGGATGCTGTGAGGATGCTGTGAAGACGCTGTGAGGACGCTGTTAAGACGCTGTGAATCCGGGAGCCGGGCCGTGCCGATGCCCCGGGGCACTCACTCACTCACTCACTCACTCACTCACTCACTCACTCCCTCACTCACTCACACTCACTCACTCCCTCACTCCCTCACTCACTCACTCATTCACTCACTCACACTCACTCCCTCACTCATTCACTCCCTCCCTCCCTCACTCACTCACTCCCTCCCTCACTCACTCCCTCCCTCACTCACTTGTTGAGATCCAGGTCCCGGCCCTGCTCGTGCGCCTCCAGCAGCTGCCGGATGATCTCCGCGATGCTCATCACCATCAGCTCCGCCTGGCTCGGCTCCCCTGCCCGCCGAAACGGGGAAAAACGGAGAAAAATGGGGAAAAAGGGGAAAATCAGAGATCGTCCTGCCCGGGAGCGGCCGGGCTGGGAAGGAGCGCGGAGCCAAACATCCCCAGCCACTGCTGTGCACCAGCGCGGTTTTCAATGCCCCTCCCGGGAGCGGCCGGGCTGGGAAGGAGCGCGGAGCCAAACATCCCCAGCCACTGCCGTGCACCAGCGCGGTTCTCAATCCCTGAGGGGTATTTTCAATCCCTGAGGGGTATTTTCAATCCCTGAGGGATAAAAACTCCGCCTCGGAGCTGTGCCAGGGCTGGACAGACCTTTTAGGGAGGACATCTCTCCTGTTTTACAATTTAAAAACCTCCCCTGGCCCAGCCTGAGGCCGTCCCCCCTCACCCCGTCCCCACCTGTCATTCCCAGCCATTCCCGCGCACCCAGCGGGATTTTCAATCCCTGAGCGGTAAAAACTGCACCTTGAGGGGTAAAAACTCCACCTTGAGGGGTAAAAACTCCACCTCGGAGCTGTGCCAGGGCTGGACAGACCTTTTAGGGAGTAAATCTCTCCTGTTTTTCAGTTTAAGAACCTCCCCTGGCCCAGCCTGAGGCGGTTCCCCTCATCCCGTCCCCGCCCGTCATTCCCAGCCATTCCCGCGCACCAGCACGATTTTCAATCCCTGAGGGATAAAAACTCCACCTCGGAGCTGTGCCAGGGCTGGACAAACTTTTAAGGAGGGAAATGTCTGCTGTTTTTCGGTTTAAACCTCCCCTGGCCCAGCCTGAGGCCGTTCCCCTCACCCCGTCCCCGCCCGTCATTCCCAGCCACTGCCGTGCACCAGCGCGATTTTCAATCCCTGAGGGGTAAAAACTCCACCTCGGAGCTGTGCCAGGGCTGGAGAGTCCTTTTAGGGAGGAAATGTCTCCTGTTTTACAATTTAAAAACTTCCCCTGGCCCAGCCTGAGGCGGTTTCCCCTCATCCCGTCCCCGCCCGTCATTCCCAGCCATTCCCGTGCACCAGCGCGATTTTAAATCCCTGAGGGACGGTTTCCCCTCATCCCGTCCCCGCCCGTCATTCCCAGCCATTCCCAGCGCGATTTTCAATCCCTGAGAGGTATTTTCAATCCCTGAGGGGTAAAAACTCCACCTCGGAGCTGTGCTAGGGCTGGACAGTCCTTTTAGGGAGGAAATCTCTGCTGTTTTTCGGTTTAACCCTCGCCTGGCCCAGCCTGTGGCGGTTCCCCCTCACCCCGTCCCCGCCTGTCCGGAGCTGTGCACAGCCAGAACGGCCCCTCAGACTCCTTTTCTCCACCTCAGCCGCCCGTGTCCCGGAGCCATTCCCTCTCCCGGACGCGCTCCAGCCCCTCAGGTTTGTTTTTAATTTTTTTTACCTTTCCCATGTTTCCTTTTCTGCTTCATCCCGGCGGATCCCGCGGCCTGGCGCTGCCGTAAAGCAACACCGCCCCGCGCCGTCGCGAAGGCGCCGTAAAGCGTAGCGCGGCAAAAGGGGAGTGTCGTTCAGCCGTCAGCCAGCAGGGGGCGCTAAAACCGCACGGAGGGGACCGCCCCCCCCACCCCGGGGTTTTGGGGGAAAATCCCGGGTTTTGGGGGGTTCTGGGGGTCCCCCCGGGTTTGGGGAGGGAGTTTAGGGTCCCCCGGTCCCCCTGCTCGAGACGCCCACGTTGAGATGCTCGGCTGGATGGTGTTTGTGGAAAGTTGTGGTGTGGGGTGAAGGCAGAGTCGCGTGGATCAAGGGATCAATCAAGGAATCAATTAAGGAATCAATCAAGGAATCAATCAAGGAATCAGGGAATCGAGGAATCGATGAATCAGGGAATCGCGGGATCACTAAATCACAGCGTCAGAGAGTCACAGAGTGTCAGAAGTGCACGATGTGGTACTGTGGATGATGGAATTTCAGTCACAGTCAGAATCACAAAACCATGGAATCACTGAATCACAGAACCTCACAGAGTCAGGATCACAAAACCATGGAATCAGACTCCCAGAATCCCAGAACTGCAGAATGATGGAATCATGGAATCACAGACTCACAGAAACACGGAATCATGGAATTGCAGTCTCACAAAAATCCCAGAACTACAGAATCAGAGACTCACGGCATTACAGAACCGCAGAATGAAGGAATCACAGAGCCACGGACTCGGGCAGACACAGAATCCCAGGCTCAGACCCGCACAGAACCCCAGATCTGCAGACTCTCAGAACCCCAGGATGGGTCAGGCTGGGTCACTGGTGCCACCTCCAGCAGGGCCATCCCAGAGCACAGGGCACGGGAGTGTGTCCAGACTGTTCTGGAATATCCCGGAGAGGAGACTCCACAGCCTCAGGGCTGGGCACTGCCCAGGGCAGAAATTCTTCCTCATGTCCTGGCCCTGCCCTGAGCCCTCCCTGCACACAGGGACACCCAGGGACACCCAGGGACGAGGCTCCCTCTCATTTATCTCCTCCCCAGGCTGAGCAGCCCCATCTCCCTCAGCCTTTCATGGCCAGGGAGATGCTCCAGGCCCTTCCTCATCTTTGTTGGAGGTGCTCCAGGAGCTCCACATCCCTCCTGTCCCAGGACCTGGACACAGCATTCCCAGGATATAAAAACATCCTTGTGGCTGTTCCTACAGCTGATGATTAAAAAGGGACAATTTATGAAATTCCCAGTAGTGGGATCATCCTATTTCTCTGTTAAAATCAAGTTTTTCCCCGGGGTCTCGTTCCTAAATTTGTACTGGTGCTTTTATTCTCCCTGAGCGGAACCACGCGGGCCTGAGGAGGCCGCGCCCCCTTAGCACTAGATAGTAGCAAAACATCAACTCGAGGAGGGAAAAAACAGTTTAAAAGGGACAATTTCTGAAATTCCGAGTAGTGGGATCATCCTATTTCTCTGTTAAAATCCAGTTTTTCCCCAGGGTCTCCTCCCCAAATTCGTACTGGTGCTTTTATCCTCCCTGAGAGGGAATCACGCGGGCCTGAGGAGGCCGCGCCCCCTTAGCACTAGATAGTAGCAAAACATCAACTCGAGG